TTTAAAAAGTGGTCGATGTTGGCAGTGATGTGGTAGTCTTCGGCTACATGATGGTATTTCAATGTGTTTCAGAACTGTTGTGAGTATACCATCGGGGTATGTGCATTCATGGTTAAGGCATTGTTTAGTGGGTGGCCTTTGAGGATATCGAGGATGATCTGATTATCACACCTCATATAGAAGTCGAGGGCATGGTTGTTAGGTTGGATTTTCAAGTATTAGGCTTTTAGGATGAGTTCGTCATCTAGGTTGGTGGCAGTGGTAGATGGGATTGAAAAGTGGATTGATGGCATAGGTTCTCTTCATCGAAAAAATTAGTATTTTTGTGAGCCATCTGTAATGTATATATGTTAGTATAAAACCCGGAATAGAACAGATTTAAAAACTTCGGAAATAAAACTTTTTTGTGAAAAAGTTCCTAATTATGGAACTTGTCTCATGTTAAAGGAAACTTATCACATGACTCTACAAGGTTGTCGCATCAGAAGGATGCGATGACACTATTTGTTGCATCAAAGGGATGCAATGAATGAGTTTGTCGCATCACAAGGATGCAATAAACAGGTTGTTGAATCTAAAAGATGCGATGACCTTGACAGATGTGTACTATGCGATAATTTTGAAGATTAGAGATATGCGACAAGTATGAATCTTTGTTTTCTAAAACAATACAAAGCCTCAAAAATGGAATCCTAACCTTCGTTTATGTTCAAAAATAACTTTAACCCTACAATCGAGATGAACAGTCCTAAGGATACGAGAAGTATGATACAATTCGATTCATACTAAGACCTAATCGCAGGTTTCAATCAATTCGAAAAACATAATGAGAATGAAATAAAGTAAAATCGAACCTGGATTTGGAGATTAGAGACTGAAATCGAAAGCTTGATGTCTAAAGGACTGTTATCACACCAGAGTTTTTCGCAAGGAAAAGTTTTGAAAGTGGTGACTGTGAACTGCTCGAGCCAAAAGCTTTATACTTAGATTTGAAAAAATTCACACGTGGCTCACACCGATTGGTCATAAAAATTTTGACCAAGAAAGTCAACTTCTCGCATGAAAGAGACATGACAAGTCCAGATTTGGAATTTATTGCATCACAAAGACATGATAAACTCTTGAGAGTAAATTTATCGCATAACACAGACACGATAAGGACAAGTTCTCGCATGACACTGATGCGATAAGTTGAGTTGTCGCATCCTAGTGATGCGATAACCTTGGTTTATCGCATCAAATTGATACAATGACCAAGGGTTATCGCATCAAGCTGATGCGATAAAATCACTTTGTTGCATCAATTTAATGCGAGAACTGATTTTCTCGCATAAAGCTTATGTAATAACACTAAGTAATCGCATCAAGCTAATGCGATAAAAAAAACACAGACATTTTTCAAAAAAATTCAAAGAAAATAGATTTTCCAACTTAAAAGATGTAAACTTTTAACTGGTTTAAGCACATGGTTTAAAAAAAAACTTGGGTGTTCTTCCCCGTCAAAAATTACATAACGTAATTTTCGAAGAAAAACAACCCTCCCCCTCAAAAAATGCTTTGAAAATTTTAGATTGAAACAGCTCCCCCTCAAATAAATATACTAGATTAGAATTAAGCTAAGGCATACTCCCCCTCAAATAGTACTTACCTTATTGAGTTTCGTACGCCTAAAAACATCAATACACATCAGTAACTAAAGACTAGACTATGTAGAACAAAAATGTACAGAAATAGACTTTGAAAATACTGGTTTTTCTTATAAAAACTTCAAAATTTTAGATTTAACATAGCAAGCTTGGAGACAAGAAAATTGAATCTATTTTCATCCAAAGCTTGGAAACTCCGTATTTACAAAGTACAATTCTATTGTATCTCATTTTACATGGTCTTTTATGAAATGATATCTGATATCGATGTGCTTTGTTTTCGTGTGCTGGACCAGGTTGCAGGATATGGAAATTGCACTCTTGGAGTCGCAATAGATGGGGATCTTGGTGAAGCTGAAGCCATAGTCCTTTAGCTGTGTGCGTATCCAGATGACTTGTGAGTAGCACCATGCAACAACAACGTACACAGCTTTAGCCGTCAATGCGGATACACAATTCTGCTTCTTAGAAGCCCAGCTCACCAGTTTATCTCCCAAGAACTAGACGTGTCCGGAAGTGCTCTTGCGATCCAACTTGCATCCAACATGATCAGCGTCGGAATAGGCAGTCAGCTCATAACCTGTTTCCTTAGGATACCACAAGCCAAAATCAGTAGTACCTTTATGATATCCCAAGATGTGTTTAGCAGCAAGTAAATGGGATTCCTTAGGCTTAGCTTGGAATCTAGCACTAAAAAATGTTGAAAACATAATGTCTGGTCTACTAGCCGTTAAATACATGAAAGAGCCTATCATCCCTCTATAGATTTTCGGATAAATATCTTTTCTGTTAAGATCGGAGTCGAGCTTAGAATCCGGTGTCATCGGAGTTTTCATTGAAGCATAATTTTCCATATTAAATTTCTTTAAAATATATTGAATGTAACTAGATTGATTTATAAAATACCATTTGAAAATTGTTTTATTTGAAGTCCAAGAAAGAAATAAAATTCTCCCATCGTGCTCATTTCAAAACGTGACACCATGAGGTCTGAAAAGTTACAGTATTTTAGGTTAGTAGAAACAAAAATTAATCATTGACATATATCTATATCAAGATTATGTCCTTACCTTCTTTTTTGATGAACAAAGTGGTGTCGATCTTACCTTGGGCAAAACCATCTATGATGAGGAAATCAGAGAGAATATCATACTAGGCACGTGGAGCTTGTTTCATACCGTAAAGAGCTTTGTCCAACATGCATACGTGATCCTCTCTGGAGGTGTTCACGAATACTTTGGGTTGCAAGACATGCACTTCTTCCTTCAAAACTCCATTGAGGAAGACAGTTTACACATCCATTTGATAGACCATGAAGTTCGTATAGGCCACGTATGCCGGGAACATTCAAATTGCTTCAATCCTCGCTATCGATGCAAAACTCTCATCGTAGTCCACTTCTTCTTGATGATTATATCCTTTCGCCACCAGTCTTGCCTTGTTTCGAATTAAGACACCATCTTCATCCTTTTTATTCTTGAATACTCATTTGATATCGATGATCGACTTGTCCTTTGAACGTGGCACGAGTCGCGAACCTTTAGGCGTTCAAACTTATTCATCTCCTCTTACATTGCCAAGCTCTAGTTTGGGTCTTGAAGAGCTTCTATGACTTTAGTAGGTTCTACCTTTCTCAAAAAGGCTGTAAATAAGCATTCATTCTCGTATGTAGAACACGTTCTCACACTAGATGTCGGATCTCCTATAATTTGATGTAGAGGATGATCCCTTGTCCATTTGACCATGTGAGGCAGGTTGAAATGTTGTCTTATCAGCGTTTAGGTCTACATACGAGCTCAGAGGTTGATCTTGTACCATTTCAAGAGTAGGAGCAGTCTCTAGATTTATAGCATTTTGATTTACTTGAGGAGTAGCAGCGATGGGAACAGAGATTTCAGGTTGTTCAGTTGACATCGGGATCTCTTCTGTCACTTGGGGAGTTTTAGTGTTCGTGGTTGCATTGAGTATTTCATGTGATGTAGAGGGTTCAGAAGGTGAGTCTGATTCATCCACATTGTCAACTTGAACACTGTTTGGAACTAAAAGAATTTTGTCAATTTTAGATCTTCCAAAATATTTATCATAAAAATTTTCCAACAGTAAGTCTAAATCAGAAGTATGAGAGTTTGAGATAGAAGTCTCATTGGAGTTAGTCTCATGGATTTGGACTCTATTGATTTGCTACTCGGACTCCAGATTATTCATATAAGTTCATATATGCATCTTCAAATGTATTTTTCAATGATTTACATATAAACATTTTCTTCTTACATTCTCATGATATTTAACTTTTTTTTTTAATTACAACCTTCCACTAAACGATTGATCATACATATATTTTAGTCTTATTTTTTTATTGTGTAAAAGTACACTTACAATCTTTTTTTTGGTATCTTTGATGTTCTACAATCTATTTTTAGTATTTTTGATATAATATCTCAAACATTTAAACGAAAGTTGTTACACAAAATAAGAATTACGTTCCATTTTCATACTCATAACTAAATCAGATATCTCAATATTTGAAACGTCACATTTAAAATAGCAAAATGAAAGTTGTAAAGTATGTTGCAGAAGTAGGTCGAAATCAAAACAAAATACGTAGTTCTACGTAGTTTCATGCAATTTACTTCCACCACAATAAAATCAGGCTTATAAGACGTCAAAACTATCTAAATGCTCTAATAGACTGTTTTGTAGGATTTATATTGTAGAATCAAACACTTGTGTATATTATGTAAACGTGTTACAATAGCTTAATATGATGTTTTGTAGTGTTTTGAAAGTTATCTAGGACCCTTTCAAAATAATGTGTCGTATTAGTTTTTTTATAAGACATTTATGAAAAAAATGTGATGTGGAAACCACAAGCGTGGTGTCTGATTGGTTTGAGATTGGCTCCAAATGTCAAAAGTACCAGGACGTCCCATGTTCAAATCCAATAAGAAATAAAAATCCCCTTGTTGCCACGGAAGTTCAAATGCGGTGACTCCGGGCTATCTGCAAAACAGGTGGTCGCTCTGTGATTAGTTGACTCATATAGCGGGTTGAATATCCGGTTAATAAAAAAAATGTGATATGCACACAACTTTTTATATAAGACATTTTTTTTTCAAATAATGTCATAAAAAAATTAATAAAACGTTTTATTTTAAAGTTAGTTTTAAAAACTTAGTAAGACATTTTTAAGACCCAAACTTATTGTAACGAAAAGAAGTATTTGGTATTCATTAAGATACCGCGTGTATGATGCATATGCCATTTTAATCCCACAAAAAATGCCATGAAAATAGGATAAACTTTCTTCTTCTTCTTCTCTTTCTCGTCCATTGGATTGCACAATCAAACCCAGCCATGGCTCTCGCTAGGATCAAGAACCGCCTATCGTCATCATCGTCACCGGCACCACCGCCATCTCCGATGCCACCCACCAGCAGAGCGACCGGCTCACGCAATGAACCAGCTTTTGGCCATTATCTGGACAAGATGAAGCACATGTCCGATCTCAATCTTCCTGAGTACGTCAATCGATCAATGATTGCAGATGTTGAATACCGGTTGATTAAAAGCAAGGATCGGAATTCTATTAGTGAGGTGATGAGATCAGTTGGAAAATACGGAGTTTTCCGGATTAGTGGACATGGGATATCGGTGGAGGAGCTGCAGCAATCGTTCACGGAGGCGGAATTCTGCTTTGGATTGTTGGCAGAGAGGTGGAGTCGGGACGGAGATCGGGAGGAGTTTCAATGGTCACGATCCGCCCTTGCAGCGGCAGAGCGGCGGCGAGAAGTTACACGAGAGGAGAGGTTTCGTAAGTTCAGGTAACAATTTGTTTGTAACTTTCAGCGTATATAATCTCGATACTACATCTAGATGGTTAAACACAGCTTGGTCCGGCCCAATGAGGAACCAGAAACCATGGACAGACCCATAGAAGGGTATACGGTGCATCTATCTGTCGGTTAAAATTTTTACGTCGTTGTTTAGAAGGTGTCACCTTATGATATTCAAAAGTTGAATAAGGTGCAACTACCTCATAATCAACCAAAAATAGAACTCTTGAAATCAATCAAAAAAACCGAAAAAGCCCCTCGAAATCAATAAAAAAAAAATTCTTCGAAATCAAGCAAAAAACTTTAAAAATCTCTCGAAGCAGTGGAATTAGGCTAAAAACACATCTGAGTGATATTAAACGTTAGTAAAAACACATCCATAAAAACCGTGTTTTTTGTAATTATTTATTGTCTATCACTACAACAAAATTGAGTTTATAGGACACCCACAATCTTTAAGCGTCCCAATAGACTGCTTTATAGAACTTAATTTATAGGACCAAAATATAAAGCGCCTTATTTAAAGGTATTGTAATAACTTTATATGACGCTTTTGGGCGTCTTAACAAGTTTTTTAGGACATTTTTAATACAAAGTGTCGTATTAGCAACTTTATAGGAAACTTTTAAAAAAGTGTCATATAAACTCATTTTTTTATAAGAAACTTGTTTTTATAAGACATTTTTTCAAATAGTGTCATAAAATTGCTAACCGGACGTTTTATATTAAAAGTGTCATAAGAAACTTATTACGATGTCAAAAAACGTCATATAAACTTATTACAACGCTTTTAGATAGAACACTTTGTTTTTTTGGTCCTATAAACCAAGTCTTATAAATAGGTCTATTAAGACGCTTAGAAATTGGGAGTACCCTATAAACCCGATTTTATTGTAGTGTATGGTATATGGTGCCACCGCATAAAAAAAATCCTGGCAATCTAATTTTGACCGGTTAAGACCCGTGAGTCTAGCTAGACCGGTTACACTTTTATGGAAAGTTTTAGGCCTGGACCGGTTATGTTGTAACGTTAACAGGACCGAATCGGTTGTAGGGATTAGGACCAAACCTATCTCTTCAAAACCAGGTCCGGAAGACACGGTTACACTCCAACCACTTGGGGTCTGCAATAATACATATAAATTGGGTATATGCACAATTTTTACGATAACTAATTTTAAAACATAGTTTTCCTTTTATATCAGAGATAAAGCAAGATTACCCGATATACATTACTATAAATTGGGTATCGCCGACCATAATTACGAACACTCAAAATCAATCAGTAATTTCCGATGCAACACTGACACAAATCCCATCCTGCCAGACGAAACAAAAAACGATCAGTAAATTTTATGGTTTTCTACAGATCACTGATCGGATAAAAAAAAAATTATTTTTTTAACTACTTGTCAGTCAGTGATATTATTCGGTAGTTATCAATCGGTGATGTCTTTCCCCATGATAGACTTTTAACAACGCATTTTTCCATCGATGTTAAATCTTCTGTTTTTGTAGTTATATTATAACTCTGAACAATTCGGAAGTTATGTGTATTTTTAAGTTGGATGTCTTTATGGTCCGTTTACTTTCATATTAAGGTTTTAAGTGTTGTTACGTATTCATATTGCAGCCAAAAGATGGAGAATCTTGCAAGTAAACTTGAAACCATTGCAAGTGATGCTGCTAAGATTGTAGGAAGCCATGGAAGCAGGAAATCTCGAAAAAAGATTAAGGAAAACGAGACGAGAATGACGTTATTCAAGCACAATAACTCGGCTCTTCAACCTCACACCCCACGTTCCCATACACCACGTTTCGCTGATGGAAAAACAGATGCGTGTTCGTTCGCTCTGAGCCTTCATATCCCAACTGAACATGGCGATTTTTGCCTCTTGTCCGATGAAGGCCCGTTGTCGTTTAGAACCGGCCCTGAAACAATCGTCTTCACACTTGGAGAACAACTTGAGGTAATCGATATCTACCCTTTAAATTTGGTCGATAGGTAGGTCATGTTTCACAACCCTCAGTTGACTTTGAAAAAGTTCTGTCTCGTTAACTACAACTACAAAATAGTTCATGAACATGTTTTTTTTTGAAAAAGTTATTTCAAGTAGCGTTTCAATAACCTTTAAAGATTTTTCCTTGCATTTTTACAATTAAATCCCTTATATTTTTCTAAGTAATTTTGCAGTATGTCTTTTTATATTATTTTATATTGTTATATAGCTTATAAGCTATCTATTTGAAATGTTGTTTTAATCGGCATTTCATAAGCTTCAAGAGTTTTTTTCAGCTTTTATACCCGTTATAGTTTTTTATATCGTTTTTCAATATGTTCATTCAGTTCAATTTATATTATCATCTAAGCTAACAAATAATTTATCAACTAACAAATAGTTTTTCAGCTAACTTTGTAGCCAACAGTTAGTTTATCAGATAACTTTTACAGCCAACAGTATATAAACTTAATATTGAGTTGTTTATAAAAGTAATAGATATGGAAATGTTTGAATGAAGGAATGGAGTTGTGGAGAGTATAAAGCTGCATTTGGGGAGATAAACATAGAACCAGAAATACAAGCAGAAGGAGCATACTCTGTGGAACTCAAGTGTTCACCTTCCGTTCTAAACGACGCCGTTGATAGAATCAACACCATTTCCATTACTGATCAAGTCTTCTTTGTACTTGCACTTGGTCTCCTTTACTCCCTGCTTTCCCATTTTCTTTCTTGATCCATTTCTTTCACTTCACAAAACAAGTTTTATATTTTTATATATATATATTTTTACACTTTTTATTTCAGGTTCAACAACTTTAAATAGAATTACTACAACAAAATCGAATTTATACGACACAAAAATTGTCTACCAAATTCTTAGAGACAAGAGTCACTACTTTCACTTACCTTATATAGTAACGTTCCTTGCCATCAACATGGATTGATGGTAAATGTTTATCGGATAAAAGTCATCGTTACTGTGCTAAACTTTCGATCTTTGTCTTCCCTCTTACCGGGTAAGATTCACGGCCCTTGTTATTTTCATCTGTTGAAGTAATTGAACTAATAAATGCTTACCAAGGTAAGTGTTTCGTAAACGACCCCTAAGAGTCATAATAATTATAAGACTTACAACTTATAAGGCAAGAATATTGTGTCTCTTATGTAAAAATGCTAAAATTAGTTTATACAGGGTAAATAGAAAATAAAAACTGCAAATCACATAATGAATACTGTTTTTTAATTTGTCACAACAATATCACATCATAAAAAGTTTTCAAAGCATTATCATATTATTTCCAGAACAACATCACATCATTGACAAAACATTATTATATCATTATATATCGACAGCAGATTCTTCGTTTAAATCCCCACATATAGGGAAGGAGGGAGGGAAGCGATGAGTGAGAGGTGATTAGTTTAAGAAAAAACCTTAAAAAAAATGAAAAACTAAAAAACTTCATCATGTCTATTTGATTAAAAAAAATTGATGGTCCAGAATTTAAATGGTATTCTCGTAGATAATATGAAAATAAGCAAATTTTTAAATACTCCTAAACTATAGGCAAGGGTATTTATGGGATATTAAATGTTCCAATCACATTTAAGATTTAAAATCCCTGCTTTCTTGCCATTATCATTATTGATTACTATAAGGTATTTGTACAATGTAGCAAAATACATCTTGATTTTAATGTTTTGTTTTATATTTTGGTTCTATCGATGTTATAAAACGATTTTATATGGTTTTGAGAAAAATAAAATGTTTTTATTTTTGAATGTAATATTATAATTTTTTTTTAAATAAGCGAAATTAGTATTAAACCAACTATTTAAAAGTTCTCATTTTTTTATATAATTTCTTTAATTTAGTTTTTTTATTATAATTTAATTTAAGTTTAATAATGAAATAATGTATTTTTGGTTTAATATTATAAATTTTATAAATATAATTCAATGATTATCCTAATTATATTTTAGATTTTTTATATTTAAAATGAGATGTTTATCTTGTATTTGATTATGTTTATCTGCAGTTAGTTACATGAATTTAGATATAGAGCTTTAATAAGTTGTACTTATGCACAATCTACTTGCAATCTTGAGTTTTAAGTAATATGCATTAATAAATAGTACTTTAAGCATAAAAAGTGGTTTTTAAGAGTTTTTGTCAAATGATTTATAAAATAKTATAGATATAAATTCTAAATGCAAAAATCAACTTCCCATAGAAAACCATATTATCAACACCAAATTCCATTCTTTAATCTTCAAACACCAAACATTTCTATTTTCTTCGTCTGATTCAACTCTCATTACTTCTTAGTATTAATTTTTTATAACCGTTTCAATCATGTTGTGAAAAGAAATCGAGTAAATTGGTAAATCTATTCACCACGACACTGCTTTTCACAAATTTTCCTTTACCTCTCAATGGGATTACATTTGTGTTTTCCGATCCTTATCTGGTTTTCTTAGCATTTTCCTGAGATAATTGGCGAGCTCTATTCTTTTTATTCTGCAACCTTCAACGGTGTTGTTTATCGGACACCTTTTTCACATTCTCCGAACATTATAAATACATGAAGGATCCATTTGGATTTTCCAGCTTCTGTGAATAAGCATGAACTTTGGTAATAGTTTTGAGTTTGTTCTCCTTCTTTGAACCAACTATTATATAGTGATCGTTCACATGTGTATGCATAAAAAAATGAAGAACATCTTTTCTAGGTTTTATGCCTATGTGCATGCAACCTGAAAAATGAAGAACATTGAATATGATGACACATTCATATGTACATGCAACTCAGAACATGGAAAACGTTGGACATAATGACACATTTACATGTGAATCGGTCCAAAAATTTAAGATGGTGAATATAGTGACTTATTGACTTGTGCATGCAGCCGAAAAGTTGAAAGACGGTGAATACGATGACTTATTCACATGTGCATGCACTCAAGAAATTGATAAACGGTGAATACAGTGACTTATATACATGTGCATGTTACTCAAAAAAATGAAAGACGATGACTCATTCCCTTATACATACAACACAAAAAAATGAAGAACATAAGTAACAGTTGTGAAGTAATATTTTTCGGTAGATTGTGGAATATTTTTTCTCTTGTAATTTTTGCTTAACTATATATACATACATATAGGGGGCTACTTTTAAGAATTTGCTAATTTGTGAGATCCGTAAGATCCAATTTAAACCACAAAAAATTAAATGGAAAAAAATCTAAAATAAATTAAAAATCTTTTTCTTCTCTCCTTCTCTAAATCTACGAGATCTGATATAGTTTGTGAACATATTACTAACACAAACTAAATCAAGAAACTGAATTTAAATATACCATTTGTTAACACGCTGGTAAAAAAATTGTTAAGGGCTTTTACATGGTGTTTTCAGTATGTTCACCTTGTATGCGCGATGTGTATGTTAATACAGAGATTAGAGAGAGAGAGATAGATTAGAGAGAGAGGGGGGGGGGAGGAGTATAAGAATTTTCTTAAAAATGCGTTAATTTTGATTTAATAAATAAGGACAATTATCTTCTTAATTATATCATTAATTAAAAACATTAACCATCTTAAATATGTGGTTTCGAACAAATCTTTGGAGTTTTCAAAAAATTAAATCCATATTAAATCATGATGGAATATTTTCAAGAATTTTGATAGCTTTCTTTATTTAAGGAATTTAGTGAAATGTGCCAAAATGCCTTTTTCATTAAAAAGAAATTAGTTTTTTTAATATTTCTTATTAGTAGTTGGATGAGAGTTGATCGATGTATATTAAGGTGTTCTTCGGTTTTTATTTTTTGTAGATTTTCTTTGAACATGACCTTATATTGGAAGGGGAAGTTCAACTACAAACCATGTAATTCTTACAAACCGTACAAACCTAATCTCAACAATTGATTTTGTTTATTTTGGAATTTAGATGCGGTTATAAAATGCGATTGAGAGTAATTAAGAAACTTAATTAATCCACACCGTTGATTATCTAGATGTATGGTTGACATCGGTTTGTAACGTTTGTAAGAATTACATGGTTTGTAAAATAAACTTCTCCTATATATATAAGCTCAAGTTCAGGGTGTTCAAAAAAACCATTGAACCGCTCAAACCAATCAAATAGGACCATTTTTGGCAGCTTGAGCAGTCTGATGATCCGGTCAAGTCTGAAAAATAGTCAAACAGCTCGGTCTGGTCTAGTTTGCGGTTTGAGCTTTTTTTTTAGCGCTATGGACCGAACCGACCGCCAAAAAATAAACATATATTTATTATATTTAGTTTCATGTTATAGGCTCAACTTTTTTTTGAAGTATATAATAATACTTATATACGACAAAAGCAACAAATAAACTCGCATACCCTCCTCATCTTTGGTGATGTTTGAACACCTAACCTCCTAGGATGTCAAAGACTACGAAACCGCTAGGCCAAAGACTCTTTGGTAGGCTCAACTTTATGGCATAATTAAAACATGCTCGTCCAAGACATTATGTTTTTAGTTTTCATGTCTCAACTAATCGCATCATCTAAATTGGCAAAAATTCCAAATTCCATCAAAAATCAAATCCAAAAGTCCAAATCATTCAACTTAGTCAATATTTGTCCAATATTTCCATCTATTGCTAGTGGATTTGTTTAACCCTTTTTCCAACTTACTCAATGTTTTTAGTTATAGACATAGACGTACCTTTTATAATTCGGTATCCTACTTTTTACATAATGTTATATCGGTAAAAGTTCCATTTTGAATATGGATAGGCATGAGAATGAGCTCCGACCTGTCGGGGAACCGGATCCAGTCACCCCGTTCAGGGACGAGGATTTCCCTCTAAACCAGGGATGGGGATGGGGAAGGGGACGGGAATATTGGTAAAAATTCCATTTTGAATATAGATAGGCATGAGAATGAGCTCCGACCTGTCGGGGAACCGGATCCAGTCACCCCGTTCAGGGATGAGGATTTCCCTCTAAACCAGGGATGGGGATGGGGAAGAGGACGGGAATCCCCGTTTGTCTCAAACCAGGGATGGGGAAGGGACGGGTAGCACACTCCCCATCCCGCTCCATACCCGTCATATATATTAATTAATAAATTGTATATATTATTTATTAACATCAACTAAATTGATAATTCATAATTTTTTATTTCCTAACTAGGTTTAGAATTTAAATTTGTTATTTTTTGGATGTTAATATGTAATATTTTAGATGTCAAGTCAAAATACAGTTACTCGATCTGTTTTGGATATTACTCAATATGGTTTTATATTACTCAATTTGTTTTGGTATGTGTGACGTTAAGTTTTTTTTGGATTAAATTGAATTTCTTTTGGTTTTAGGTTATTAATTATCATATGATGTTATAAACTTTTTGTATTAAATTAAATTCTTTTTTATTTTAGTTTTATTGGAAATATGTGAGATTTAAACATATGTGATCTCTCACATATATGATTTAAAATAGCTTATACAAACAGAAAAAAATCATCGTTTCCCTGTTGTGGATGGGGATGGGGATGGGGATGTGATCATATTCTCCGACAGGGATGGGGATAGGGACAGGGACGGGGACGAAGATGAGGAATCGGGGATGGAGATGGGGATTGAGGTCCCCGCTCCATTCACATGCTTAAATACAGATCTTATGTTTTTTTGGGTTTAAAGCTCATAAAAGGCCCAAACCGGTTAAACTGATCTGATGAGAC